ATATTTGACGATTCATTCATCCATTATTGTGAAAAAAAACTTTGTGTTGTTAGTTCATTTATAGTTTCATCTTTTTTCATGTTTACCTTCGGATTCTTTCGTTCCGGGCAGCAGAGATAGAATGATTTTGTTTTGATTTATTTCAAAAAATTATTCATCCTTAAAAATTAAAATTAAGTTCGTCTTTCTTTGATCGTTTCAGGTCGTTTCAGGTATACGCAGCACGTATTTTCTTTTTTATTTTTTTTACTTTTGGGTTCGATCGGTTTGATCGTTGGTCGCAACGATCAAATATTTTATTTTTCGCCTCATGATTTATCATTCTTCTTTTTCTCAAGGTTTTCTTTCGCGTTTGATCACTTCGGAAGGAATCTTTTTAACACTCCGTTATTATTTTTTTTTTCTCAGATATTATTAATATAAAGAAAATATATTTTATAGCTAACCACACATGCTGCGCAAATAAAAATAGATTCGATTTATTTATTCGATTTTTGATTTATTTGATTATGGTAGAATCGATTGGTCATTGCGTTATGCTGGATATTATTCAGCTACTATTTCCCATGAAGATCATGTCTCAAATTTGGCCAAAAGCTTTAGAAGTGCCAGAATTATGACTATTATTATTTTTATGCGTATGCTTTAGTATTCCAGTATCACTCAATTTTCCAAGATGTATTAAATTGTTCTTGATGGAACATTAGTTTTATTTATGAATTATTTGGAGGTGAATATATTCTAGAGAAACGAACTGAATCCACCTTTATAGATTTGTATTTTTTATTAAAAACTAACATTAATACTAATAATACTATATTATATACCTTTGTAAACTGATCTGGAACATTGAAACCTTGGAAATTTGGGTTGGAGATAAGTCCTAATAATTCGTTGGTTATTTATTGTATTTTATTTTCTAATAAAATAAACTAATATTTATTTATCTTAGTGATCGTAGGTGATCTAATAATAATGTTTCTAAATATGTATATATTTTACGTTTCGCCGAATCCGTTTCGTCGAAATCACTTCGCCGAAGCTAATTCACCGAAAGGACATTTCGTCGAAAATGACTATTACGTAACATTTGTTTAACTTATCATTTTTAGGTTCTACATTATAAAGTAAGTTTTTTCTTAAAAATTCGTTGGAAATAATAAAAAAAGTTCAATAAATCTGGCAAGTTGCTAACAACCAACAGCGAATTATTTTCGTTTTCGGCGAAATGTCCTTTCGGTGAAATGGATTCGGAGAAGTGTCTATTCGGTAAAACGGATTCGGCAAAACGTCATTTCGGCGAAGCGTCCTCTCGGTGAAATGTTCATTCGGCGAAACTTCTTTTCGGTGAAAGGTCCATTCGGCGAAATGGACATTCAGCGAAGTGGCCGTTCTGCAAAATGTCCTTTCGGTTAATTGGCTTCGGCAAAGGGGGTTTCGGCGGAACGGGTTTCGGCGAAACGTACCGTAACCAAAAAAAAGCATACTGCGTACTTCCGAAACGATCCAAACCTAAAAAGAATAACGTTAATAATGAATAATTGCAAAGAAAAAATGAAATAAAATTTGCTTTATAACTGCGGCCCAAAATCAAAATAAAACCCAACCCAAAAAGTAGTAAAAAAAAAATAAATTCTGATAGAAAATACATTATGCCGACCAAATTGATTCTCTTATCCGCTTATAGGTTTTTTCAAAAATTAAAATAAAATTTTTATGGTAAAATATTTAGAATCTTACATACAGTACATGTAAAATATTTTAATGTATTAATTTGTGAAAATCTTACTTTTGGTGAACAATAATTTTCTTATCAAATATATATATATATCTTTTTGGTAAATATATTTTTTTTTTGCTTTCATATTGTGACGTTACGCCATTATAAAGTCGATTAGAATCGATTAATCATAATCGAACATCGAATCTTGGAATCGAAAATCTAGAAACGATTAATCGATTTTAAACGCAATAAAGATGGGTAGCCTAATTTGCCATATGAATCGATTCCAATCCAAACCTCCAAAAGAAATTCAAATATGATCTCTATTATATTCTTAATATATGTAATTAAAGATGTGTTGCAATAAAGTATTTTCAGTGATTAGATTGCAACATTAAAAATATTTTATCTCCCATCGCAACATCTACATTTCAGTATACAGATTGAGATTATTGAATTATTAAAATTTTTTTTTACAACTATAAAAATTTTGGTATAATGAATACAATATTAATTCTATTTGCAAACTCATTCATTATTTAATATCCATCCAAGTCACGCAAAAGCAGATTTGCCATAAATACATAATTCATTTCTCACGGACTACTTCACATTACTCACTATTACTGTAGAATTCACGCACATTGATATCTAACACATATTGTTTTAGATTATTGATCCATGGTGAATGACTAGAACTGACAAGGTTATTGGGACCCCTATAGCTTTGCCAAGGATAAACGTCGAACGGGAAGTGATGTCAAGGAAAGAGCGTTGGGATCATGGCAATTGTTCAGAAATGAACACGTGGACTCATCTAAGTCAAGTAAGACCAAATACGCCAATTCGGACTCTCACAATATTAAAAGGAACAGCAAAGTATCCCTGCCAAAATTGCAGGATGTCCCGTGTCAACTTTTTAATCAATTGAAAGACGAACTTCATGACTTTACGGAAAAGGATCAGCGGCTTCTTGATGCAAGCCTTAGAGGACATCTTGCAAAAACTTTTGGTATCACTAAAATTTTTCCTTTATATTTAGACCGTTCTGAATTTGTGATGTGGTTTCTAGATGAAAATAAATGCTTGTTTATGTGGAATGAAATGGAGAA